TTCTCCCTATGTCCACTATATTTGTCTTTAATATGTCTACTGTATTCTCCCTGTGTCCACTGTATTTGTCTTTAATATGTCTACTGTATTCTCCCTGTGTCCACTATATTTCTTTATATTTCTACTATATCTCTCCCTATGTCCACTATATTTCTCTATAATATATTATGTCTATTTGTCTTTATATTTCTACTCTCTCTCTCTCTCCCTCCCTATGTCCGCTATACATATTTCTCTATCGCAACCTCAGTGCTTTTTTCGTCGAATCTCCATTTTTTTAAAACGATGAAAATGAAATGTGACTTCTTCTTAAAAGCTCACTCTTTGTAATGAACTGTTTTCACTGCTATTAAAAATGGAGATTTAAAAATGGAGATACGACAAGAAAGCACTGAGGTTGCGATATATCATGTCTACGTCCCTACTTCGTTGACCCACCTGTCGATGTCTTGCTGCGCGGCTGTGGTCACAGCGACTCCGTCAGTGCCCACCGTGGCGGTCCCGGCGAGGATACCGCTGGTCATGTTGTCCTCCCCGCCCAGGTACGCCTCTGCCTCTCCCCGGAGACTGTCGTTGACGTCATACTGGCCCGGACCAGGGGCGAGCGACTCCATGAACACGTTCATGTTGCGTTGGCGTTACAGTTATGTCCCTTGCGTGCGACTTCCGTGCAAGAGCTTTCTGTGCTTTCTCTTTGTCTCTCGCGTTCTTGTTCTTTCTGTCTTTTATAAATTACTTCTGTCTCTTTTTATTTCTTCTCCGTGTGTCTCTTTTTCTGTTCACTCAACGTATTGTCTTTCTTACGTATTCTTACCTCGTTTCACGTGTCCAGTCTTTTCGTCTCCCTCTCAACTTCTTCGCCACTGTCTTAATCTCCTTTTCGCGCCCCCTCTCTCTCCCTCCCCCTCTCTCTCTTCCTCTATCCCTCCCTTTCTCTCTCTGAGCCAAGTTTTTCTTTTCGACCCAGCAGTCACTCCCCAGCGTTGTCAGTGTCTCTGGCTCTGTGCAGTCGGGTAAAGGGACACGAGTCACAGTAGCGACAACGGTCTGTTTTATGCCATCAGCGACTCCAGTCCTGTGGGAGGAAAAGACAGAAAAGACAGAGATATTATTGATTAGGAACGGAAATCATAAACGCGACGTATGGAGAACGGGAGAAATGGTTGATGGTTGATTAAGAACGGACAGACGGGAGGTAATTAATTACGAGGGCACGGGGGACAGTGCTGGGATGGTCTGTGAGAAGTACGAAAACATCGGTGTCGTCTTGGGGAAATCAGACGCTCGTCGAAATAATGAAATAGAAGGAACCTTCATTTTTTAATTATTGCTGTTGTTGTTGTTTGTTTGTTTATTTTTATTTGGTTACTTTTGTCGATTGTGTGTGTGTGTGTGTGTGTGTGTGTGTGTGTGTGTGTGTGTGTGTGTGTTTCGGAGGG